CCCCCCAAACTCCCCTGCCCTCTATCCAACCCCCCCGCTCCCTGCCCCCTTACCACGCTGCCTGGAGCACCAGTGGCTGGCGGCGCTACAGCCACGCTGCCCAGAGCGCCAGGACAGGCAGCCGCACCACCCGGCTGGAGCCAGCCATGCCACCACACAGCACAGAGCACCGGGTTAGGCCACGGCTCTGCAGCCCCGCCGCCCAGAGCATTGCGCCAGTGGCACAGTAAGCTAAGGCTGCAGGAGAGGGGGAACAGCAAGGATGGGGTGGGGGCTAGCCTCCCGGGCCAGGAACTCAGGGGCTGGGCAGGAGAGTCCTGTGGGCCTTAGTTTGCCCACCTCTGCATTAACACTTTAAAGTTGCCTTTCCAGAACAGTGTTGCCAAGGGGTTAGAGACGATCACACAAAAAATCCAGAGTGATCACAAAGTTATGGCATCCTGCAGCTGCAAACATAGGGCTGTCTGGTTGCAGTGTGACTTCTCCAGGTGCCTGCCTCCCCATCGTCCAGAAAAAAAATTGCCCATTTGTTCAGCTTTGAAGATGCTCTGCACTCTTTTCAGATACAACAGCTACACTGAAGCTTCCCACAGCTATGTCAACATGCTGATAAAGCCTCAAAATGGGGTAGGAAGTTGTGATGGATAAATGAGAGAGATGGGTGGTATAGTGTCAGAATCTAGAGTTCAGCATTCCAAACCCAGCTCTAACACTAACTTACTTAGTTTCTCCATCTGTAAAATGGGATTAATAATTCTTGCTTACTAGAGCTGGTTGCAGTTTTCCATCAAAATTATACAAACTCCATGCCTTTTTTGAGAGTAATTGGCTTTGCTTAGAACTTTGCAGAATGAGTCACATAATACTTGTAAAATTCTTTGAACAAAAGAATATGACCACAAGTGAAAGGGACAAAGGGACTGAGCATTGGACAGAATCCAATTAACACACACACACAAAGTACCATGCAACTCAATCTCAACACAAAGCAGAGCAATCCAGGTCAAAATGTACTCCTCCCCAAAAATAATACTATAACTTTGCTGGTTTCTGAACTATGGAGCTAGGAGACCAAAGCCATGTAAGTGGACTGGAAATCTCCCAGCAAACTGCCAGGTTTCCAGCAGGATTCTGGAAATCCTAAACAAGTAGTGCCAAGCTTACACACACTCATGGAAAATAACTTTTCCTGCCCAGGAGACTGACTTGGAGTCAACATCAAACATATCCTTCAAGTTGCAAAGTTGGGTCATTTTATCAGCTCCTCTCCTCCCTTGGGGGGTTGAGTGGCTCAAAGCCTAACTACTGCTGCTTAGCCAGGCATTCAGGAGCCCCACGCTTCTAGAGTGTTATTTAATGAGCATTTCAGGGTTCTTCAAAAGGATCACACGAGAGTCACGGTACGCCCCTGACGGCCAACCACCAGCAACTGGAGCGTTGCACAGAGACCAGCAGGAGGCCAGAGCTGTGCAGCACGAGCACTTGTGTATACAAAAGCAGGAGGCGGCGAGAACTACTAACAGCATTAACTCCACAGCCGAGGCTCCCCCAGCAAGCCGCAAAACAACATGTCCGGAGGCGGGCTGTTCGCTTGCAGCAAGTCCCTGGAAGGGGTAGTAGAGAGCCGGGGAGGCAGCAGGCGGCCGAGCTTCACAAAGCGCGTTGAAGAGGAAGAGTGAGAAGTTGTTCGGCAGCGCCCCACGTCCCCGGCAGAAACAGGGGGTGGCGGGACACGGCAAGTCACCCCCAGACAGCTGCTCCCTTACACAGAAAGTTTGTGCCAACAGCGGTGCGCGCGTGGGACCCCTGGCTGCTCCCCTGAGCGGGGCGAGCCCGGCTGAGTTTCTCTTACCTTTGGTCCAGTCCACGACTTGCTTTGGGCTCCACTTGGTAACGGGCTCCATGCTGGGCGCTCTCCCGTCGGGCTGAGCCGCGCCACAAAGGTCCCTGCCGGGAAGCCTGCGCCAGCGGGGCACGCTCGCCCCAGCCACTTGTCCCGCTCTCCCTCCTCCGGCCACAGATTCCCCTTTCAAGCACCCATCCCCGCTCCCCGGCTGGGCGGGCTGCCCCCCTCCAGCAGCTCCGCCTGCCTCCCGCGGGCTCCTCCTCCACGTGCTTCCCCCGCCTCGGCCGCGCGTCCCGGCCCTGCAGCGGCGGCCTCAGCCGGCCCCGCCCCCGGCTCTGCCCCCTTTCCTCTCGCGGCTTCGCCCAGCGGAGGCGGGCGGGGAGCGGTCGGTGGCTCAGCTGCTCAGGTTGCGTGTGCAGCTGTTTCCAGCCCAAGCGGGGGCTGAAGTGAAACTCCTGAGAAGGGCCGGGCCGGCGCCCACGCGACTCCACAAGTGCTTTGGGCCTCTGCACGGATGGGTTTTCAGAGCGGGGCGTTATAGCCTGCAGAGGGGAGCGGGCGCAGGGACCGTGGCATGGACCCGTCCCCAGGAATGGCTTTCTTCCATATGTATAGCGGGGGTGCTGAGAGCCAATGAACCAAACTGTAAACCCTGCATATAATGGAAACCACTTCAAATCACGGGGTGCAGCAGCAGACCCCCTACTTCCAGCACCTACATTGTTTTCTTTAACCAGTCTCCCCTGGGGTTTTTCTTTCCTTTTCCTGGGTCTCATGTTCCCTTAGAGGGCCTGAGCAGTGCTTAATGTTTGGCAGGGCTGCACTGCTGAGCCCTGGCACTTCTAGGTTTGATCCCAGCAATCTCAGGGCTTGTCGCCTCAGTTATGAAAATAAAACAATGGCTTGAGCCCCAGCACCTCTTCCATTACAAATAAGCTCTGGCCTGGATCTTGCAAGGAGTTGGGGGAGGACCCCCACATGGAACTCAAATACCCAACCCGAGACCCAGGGCTTAAATTCAGCCAGACCCATCTGGAGCAGAGCTCCAGTAAATATTTTCAAACCCACGGGAGCCCCAGCACACCCTGCGGGACAGAAGTCCCCAGCTCCAGAAAATAATCTGTGAGAATTTAAGTGCCACCTAGGCCTCAAACAGGCAAAGACCTAACCCACGTGCCTAACTATATGCACTGGGAGTAGCACTATCAAAGTGGGATTGCCCAAAGTGAAGCATGTTAAGTCTTTGCCAAAGCAGGGCCCTAGAATGCACATCTCTCTCACTAATGGCTCAGATGTGCTTCCAGGAGAGAAGAGACTCTTTAGTAACATAAGACTTATGGCCTTGATCCTGCAAACACTTATGCACATGCTCCACTTGAACAGAGTAGAGCAGTTTGGAACATTTTCAATCAATCAGTTTCAACAACAACAAACAGGCGGACAAATAATTCTATGATTTTTTTCACAGATTTCAAACCACCAGCCTCCTTCCCCGACCCCCCATTTTCCCCCTAGGTCTACTAACAAAAGTTATGCGCCTATATTCAACACTCTGGGGTTATCTACACTTAGAGCAGTGGCACCACTGCAGTGCTTAGTGAAGACGCTACCTACACCAACAGGAGAGCTTCTCCCATTAGCATAGATACTCCACCTCCGCAAGATGTGCTAGCTATGCTGATAGGACAGCAGCAGCTCCAGGCACCAGCGCTCCAAGCACGTGCCTGGGGCAGCAAGCCACGAGGGGCGCCCTGCCGGTCCCTGTGAGGGCGGCAGTCAGGCAGCCTTCGGCAGCTTGCCTGTGGGAGTTCTCTGGTCTCGCTGATTTGGCTGCAGTTCAGTGGCGGGTACGCCGAAGCCGCGGGACCGGCGGACCTCCCGCAGGCATGCCGCCGAAGGCAGCCAGCCTGCTGTGTTTGGGGCAGCAAAAAAGCTAGAGCCGCCCCGTGATAGGAGAAGCCCTCCCTTCAACATAGTGCTGTCTGTGCTAGGGGTTAAGTCAGTATAACTACGTCGCTCAGGGGTGTGGATGTTCCAAACCCCCGAGTGACATAGTTATGCTAGCATATATTGGTAGTGTAGACCAAGCCTCCCTTTCTGAAGGTTAGCATTTACAGAAGGAACCAGCCCTATTTTGTGGCCCATTGAATAAGCATTATACAGTAGAACCTCAGAACGATAAACACCAAAGTTACAAACTGACCAATAAACACACACCTCATTTGGAACTGGAAGTATGCAATCAGGCAGCAGCAGACACACACACACACACACACACACACAAAGCAAATACAGTACACTACTGTGATAAATGTAAGCTTCTAAAAAATAAAGGAAAAGTTTAAAAAATAGATTTCACAAGGTAAGGAAACTGTTTCTGTGCTTGTTTCATTTAAATTACGATGGTTAAAAGCAGTATTTTTCTTTTGCATAGCAAAGTATCAAAGCTGTATTAAGTCAATGTTCAGTTGTAAATTTTTGAAAGAACCATAACGTTTTGTTCAGAGTTAAGAACATTTCAGAGTTACGAACAACCTCTTTTCCCGAGGGGTTCGTAACTCTGAGGTTCTACTGTATTACAGCTGGTCAGAAACTGCAATTCACATTCCATGGAAAATTTCAAAAAACTTCCATTCTAAAATGGAATAAAAAATTAAATTTTCCCATGGAACAGGAATTCTTAATATTTTTTTTAGAAAAAAATCAAAAGGGCATTTCATTTTGTATTTCTCTAAACACTTCTGAGGTTCCCCAAGCTGCTCAGAGTTCCAGGAGCATGCTTTATTGGGAAGCCAGTCAACTTGGGAGCTAAGGTTTTTAGGCTGCCAAGGAGCCAGGACCCTGAAAGACCTAAAACCCCTGACAGGCTGCCCACAGCCAGGTAGGCTGCTGAAGAGCAGGATGGCCTCAGAGGTGAGAATGATTTTCTAATAGAAAATCTAAATTGTCTGGCAAAATTGAAATTTTCCTTTGGAAAATTTTGATGAGTCAGAAAGTGATTTTTCCTTTGGAAAATAATTCTAACAGAAAACTGCCCCAACTAGCTCTATGTTGTGTACTACCACAGAACCTGGAGACCTGGACAAATCTTAAAAGTCAGTTTCCCCAGCCAGGAGCAAATGTACAGGTAGTGATTTTAGGCTCGAGAGAAAGTGCAGCTGCAGCACACTTTTGCACTCTCCCCGAAGCTGTTTATGGGGTGGGGCTGCAATGCAGGAAAAGTCTGACTGCTGCAGAACGCTCATATCAGAAAAAAGGTCACCCAATATTAAAGCATACAAACTTTTAGGAACCCACTCAATAATTTGGGAAATGAAGAACCCTTGGCATAGGAAATTAGAGCCCATTCCTAAAAGAAAAATAAATGGTTATCCATGTCAATAAGAGGGAGTATGGTCTAGTGGTTAAAGCTGGAGATCTAAATTCTGCTTCTGGTCCTGTCATAGACTAACTTAGTTCCTGATGTTGGGTGAGTTACTTCATCATCTTTGCTTCAGTTCTCCCATCAGTGATAATATCAAAACAGCTTTACTGGGGCATTGTGTGGTTTAATTCATTCATGTTTAAAGCATTTTGAATCCTTGTATGGAAGGAATTATAGAAATGCAAAGAAGTATTATAATCTAACTTATTCTGTCAGGTAGTTCCTTTAAATGTTTTAGACTGATACTATTCCAGCAAAACAGTTAATCATTAAAATTTAATCCTTTTACATTAAGTGGAATAGCAACCATCTGATACAATGGGATCAGAGAATATAGAATGGGACTAGAGATAGAAATGGTGGATTTCTTTTCCACCTACAAAGTATTTGGATGTTGTGTTTTAAACTGAAATTTCTTGCACAGGGTCTCCAAAATGGGTACTTGCTCTGAAAACAATTTCAGTTGCTCTGTTCCAAAATATATCATCAAGCAAGGATTTGCTATACCATAGGGATTTTTACAGGGGCATAATGTGAGGAAATGGAGGAATTTAATTCCAAGCCATGTGAGAACAGTAGTTGCAGTAAAACATTTTAAGGAATGCCATACATTCCACCCACACTGTAACTGGGGGACTCACACAGGTTAGCAATTGGGGGGAGATTATTTTTCATCTTTGGAAAAAATGATTTATTTTTATGTTTGCTGTCTCTCGACTCCTATCTCTATTTCTTGGTTGATAGCAGAAATTCAGGACATTGATTGTGTGTGGGGAAGAACATCCCTAACCACCTGGCAGTATTATTTATTATTAATTATTATTATTTATTTAATATTTATATTGCAGTAGTGCCTAAGTCACAACCTGGTTGGGCCCAGTCATGCAAGGTAATTACTGCGGTAGCAGTAGTTACTGAAGAAGTGAGGTTTTTACCCACGAAAGCTTATGCCCAAATAAATCTGTTAGTCTTTAAGGTGCCACCAGACTCCTTGTTGTTTTTGTAGATACAAACTAACACGGCTACCCCCTGATACTTGACTGCGGTAGCTGATGTCCACACTACCCTCCTTCTGTCAGTGGTGCGCGTCCTGACCAGGAGCACTTCGCGGCTCTAAGCTCTACACAGCTCTCCTCCCAGAGCCCAGCTGCATCCCAGGCTTCTCGCCTCCCCACTCCCAGCTGAGAATGGGGGGAAGCTGCCCAGGGCGTCTCGCCTCCAGCAGGGAGATCCACACCTGGAGTCCATCTGGCTGCCGTGCTCCCGGTGAGGAGCCAGGATCTTGGGGGGGAGGGAGAGAGAGCTATAGGGCTCCCAGTGGGGAGTCCGGGCAGCAGCTCAAGTCGGGAGCCCAGATGGCAGCCCGGCTTGGAGCGGAGACCCGGCAGCAACCTGGCTGGGGAGCCAGAAGCCAGCTTTCTTGTCAATTTCACGGATCCAGCAGAGCCTTGAAATTAAAAAGACAGCCAACTGCCAATGTAAGGAACGCAGGTTCTACACAGACACTGCGCCATTCTAACTACACCGACATAAGCCCTACGCTTCTTGTGGAGGTGGAGTTATTATGTCGGTGTAGTAGGGGCACTTACATCAGCAGGGACAAGGCTGTAGTGTAGACACTACACTATATTGACATAGGTCAACATAAACTGCCTTATGTCGACCTAACTCTCTAGTGTAGACCAAGCCTGAGACTATGCTAGGATATTGTCAATGTGTTAGAGCAGGCCTGCACAACTCGTAAAGTGGCGAGGGTCATATTACTCCAAAGAAAACAGCTGAGGGCCGAAACCCTCCGGCCCCGCCACCCCCCCCCCCCAGCACCGCCGAAACACACACCCCCAGCGTCGCCCAGCCCCCC